AAAATGACAAAAGGTTCAAACCTTCCGTGAAGTCGGGCGAGTGTTTAAAATTATTCCTACGAAGTCGGGAACCTAATTAAAACCCTTCTAGAAGAAACCTTTCTGAGAGTATTCCCTCCCAAACAGGGAGAACAGGAAGTGAACCAAAAGTCATCTGTATTCCCCAGAAATGCAAGTGGATTTAGGGGTTAGACTCCCTGTTCCTGCTGTGCTGTGTTGTAATATTTTCTGTACCCTCGCAGGTATACCCATGTATACGTGTCTGGAGAGTCTGGTGTGATTGCCCAGCCAGAATCTTGCACCGGAGTGAATGGGCAGTAATCCGTTAGGCGATTCGGGACCTCCGTCAAGTGCGCCTTGTCCACTTTGGTATACCCTGGCGAGCTAGGAGGAGTCGACCCAGCTCCCACGCCTGGCAAGATACTCGTCGGCATCGATGAGCCAAAAAAGTTATATAATGGGCCTCATTGAACCTCAGGGAGTTCCTAGTACGGCAGCGTTGGGTAGGGCGCTCGGCAGAGGCTGTTAATAACTCAGGGCCACGACAGGCTGTCCAAAAGGAGACGGACCAAGATGGCAAACTGTACTTTCAGCGCACCAACGCTTGCATCGGAAGCGTGCATCGAAGATCTGATGATGCAAGCTAGGAAGATTAAGTACGAAGTCGTCGGACTGCCGAGTTGAGAAAACGTCGCACGCTGCTTTCAAGCCTAAAAGCTGTAGCACAGAAGACTTATCCCTAGTAGGTATACCATACGCCTCAACAGGTTGTCAATAATTGTCCACAGTGGCATGACAGAAAGTTATGATAGGCTTGATTCCAACAAAAATAAGTTCAGAAGGGGAGTTAAAGGAGAAGCTGTCACTCGTGCGCGCTCTAATGCGAATAGCTCGCTCGAGTAACAGCTCAGATTACTGTATAACCCATTAGCGCGGACGTTTAAATCCGCCTTGTGTGAATTTCACAGTGAATATAATCCTCAATTTTTCTGTTCCTTTAAGTGTCTCAACCGCTGAAAGTGGCTCTGGCCCTCGTAAATTTATTCGTTAGAACATTATACAGTTGCGGGGGCGATCAAACTTATTTTTGTCAGCCGTGTCGCCGAACCTCGCTTCCTTAATTGCCCTCCAGCCTAGACAGCGCTTTTTGATCTCGACTTTATATGTTTGTAAGTGATTTTTGCAGAAGCTGAAGTTGAGTAACAGCATCCGGGACTGCTCTCCTGATGACCGCTGATTGGCGATCAATTCGAGCCGATTTGGGTTGGTTTTTTTT